TTTTCTTCCTCCCTTCCTCTGGTAATTTTGAATGTTTGTCTTAGCTTCATGTGCTGTCCTGACAGGCTGCCTCAAACAACTGCCTGTGTGTCATATTTCATGTTACGAAACCAGTATTGTTTCTCTGGTGCAGGCCAAGGCCCGGACATGAGCGTTCCCAGCGCACCACAGAAACTTGCCGCGCCACCGCCCAGCGGGAGACCTTCTCCTGCTCCTCCTGCTGCACCGCCTGCCACTGCCATGCCCGGCCCTTCTGTGCCACAGCCACCACCTGGACAGCCTTCGCCTATCGTGCAGCTGCAGCAGAAGCAGAATCGCATCAGTCCTATCCAGAAGCCACAAGGACTGGATCCTGTTGAAATACTCCAAGAACGTGAATATAGGTAAAAGCAAAATAAAAATCTCAAGTGCTTATGAATTGATACTTTGTACTTCCTCCATTGATGATCTGTGCAGTCAAATGTGATATTGAAATGGCCGTAGCTCAGAATTTCCATGTCAAGACCAACAACAAAAACTCTGTTTTAATTCCAGACCAAATTACGACCTAGCAGAGCAGAGTGGCAGTATATTTGCAAACAGCTTTAAGTTTAAAACAGGTTAAAGGATTTTGTTGGATTAGTGTCTTACTTGAATAGCTGCAAAAGGTAAAAATCAGGAAACTATAGTATTTTTAACATACATGGAAACAACTTTAAGCGCAGAAATCTTTCAAAATGATGAACGCAAAAGGAAGTCAAAAGGGAAGACTGGAAGTCAGAAGACTGGTGAGCCAGCAGCCAAGGTGAAGATGAGCTTTAATGATATTTTTCTTTGTCACGGTGTTCTTCCTTTTCACATGCAGTAGGGAATGTAAGTGATATAGATTTTAGTAATATACAGAGTGTTTTAGGATCTAGTGCCATGTCCAGAGTCCAGGCCTTAATCTAAGAAAAGCTCTCACACTTTTGTCAGATCATACTCAAGTGATTTCATGACGTGTTGTTGTGATTCTTCACTCAGTTTCATTGTTTTCATGTAGAGCTGAATGGCCAGAACTGTTTCAGTGTGAGCAGCCTCTATGATATGATGGCTTTTAAAGAAAGTTTGAGACAAACAGCATTATATATTTTCACTAGTACTCTGAGTGAAAGAATTATATAGCATTAACCAGAGCCAGGAATCATGTGGCCTAGTATAGCATAACCATTGCCGCATCCATTAACCTCAGTCTGTTGCATGCACTGCTTGTGCCAAACTCTTATAGAATGCATAAATGGATGGAAGTGAAGGCTGGAATAAAGTAGCTGTGGTGCATACACTGGTGTGTAGAACGGGTTGCAGTCACAGCTTGTCTAGGGTCTAAATAGCCTGGTCTTTTTGATGGAAGAAATCAGGTGGGCATTTCACAGGGATACAATAACAGGAGGCTAATCCTAAGTGTTGGATATTGCTGGAATTTGGTTTTGTTTGCCAGAAATCTTAGATCTTAGGTAGAGCTTAGTATGTTTTTTTTCATTATTTCAAAGTAAATGAAATCAAAGAAAAGCTTTGGGGAAAACAAAACAAGGCAAACCTTTTTTTGAACTTTGGATTGTACTGGACTAAAGTTTAATGTAATAAGATACAGTATAGCAACATGGAGGATTTGCATACTGATAAACCTGTAAAGTTAGCAATACCATATGAAACAGTTGTCTCATTTTCTGTCAGCAGTAGTTAACTTTTTTTTTAAAAAAAATTGTACTGTGAAATACTCAGATGAATGAGTATTCACTGGATGAATTATTCACCTCTTCATGGAAAGACAGAAGTATCACAAGGCTATAACAGTTCCCCAGTTCAGACATACAGACACAAAGGTGAAGTGTTTGTATATTGCCTCATTATGGGAATCTGATCAAATCAGGAATTCTTGCAGATGGCAATCCATGTTTACTCTGTGGCTTAGAGCATGGTGTTTCTGGACTAAAGATATGAAGCATGCTATTGGGGTGTCTGTCTCATTCAGTTACTTCTGATTTATTTGCTGCACAGTAAGAGGTTACTTGATAGAGTATTTGACTGTTTCTCTTAGCATACATTCACCTATTGAAGAGTTAGAACTTGACTTGGTGGGGGGGCAGTAAATACTGCTCCACAACTTTCTCTCTTTTTATGGATAACCTGCATAGTTTGTGTACGAGACCATGTGATAAATGTGAAATACCTTAGTTCTTGTTATTACACTAAAAAAACTACATCTGTTTTTCCCAGTGTCAGCAGTTCCTTTTTCCTTACACTTCCTGCTACCAGAAAGTTAGATAGTTTGTATAGTAATTGAGCAGATAGGCTGGTAAATGTTTGATGTAGAATTCTTATCCATTAACCGTGAATTAAAAAGACCACTACATAGGAAGAATCAACAATGGACCTACTAACATAAACTTGCTCTGAACAAGTTTTAACACCTGATGATGTAGTAGGTCCAACTTTTTCTTCTTGAAAATCCTTGTTCTTATTATAAAAATGTCTTTGGAATAAATTAACACTGAAAAAGAAAACAAGCAGGTTGCTGTCAAATTCACGTGGTTATGCCTAGTATCTATTGACAGCATGTGTTGGTTTGAGATGAGCTTTTACAATAATTGTTGTTAATTCTCATATGACCAGAGGTAGGTGATTAAAAACCCTACATATTTTTTTAAAAATTACTGCTTCTACAAAGTTTATTTCTGTTTGGAGAACTGTTCAACTTCTGTGCATGTTGAAAACTAGCCAGAGTGGTCAGTGGAATATGCTCCTAACGTTTTACTCTTACAAAACTTTCCTTAACACTTTCTTGAAAATTAAATTATTACTTTTAAATTTCAATGACTGTGCTGTATAATTTAATGTCGTTCCATGTTATGGAAAGATTTTCCTAACTTCTCAGCACTGATCAAAAAAAAATGCTATTACCAGTGTCCTGTGTAATGTCAGTGGATTCTTTCTGAAAAGTTGCCTTTTGTATGGGTTTATTGCTTGCTTCATGCCATCCATACTGTAAAAGTTTAAATATGCAAAAGCATAACCTACGTAGTTGACCTGAGTTATTGATGTTCATTGGTCATTTTGCAAAGGAATCTATGGCTTTCACTATAAAGGCACTAGCCATTTTCTGCATGGGTGAAAATAAATTTCTGAACTGCAGAGATTAATTAAATGTGTCCTTTAAACAAGATTGGATTATATCCTTCAGGTGATTGTAAAAAGCATCTAGAAGATCTTTTTCCTTGGATTCTGCAGTGGTTTGCATAACAGATATTAGTATCTTCCCATGAAGTCAAGAATAGTCCAGCAAGTTCTTTTTAAAGAGAACTATATTTTTCTGTAGTTTTAGAATGACTTAAGTAGTTGTTGAACTCATGTGAGGTATCTGTCGAGAAATTATTTTTAAAATAGTATTACTGCTGAAGAAAATGAGTAGTTCTGTGAAAGTCTGAAATAAAGCTGCAAGACCTGTTACTATTCTTTTGTAATTCTTAGTGTTTGAGCCATCTGGCTGCCATATCTCGTTCTCTCTGTTAGTATTTGAAGTTTTAACCTGGACTTGTTTTGAGAAGGTACTTTAGTTTTTTGAGCTTTTCCTGAGGTAGTGTCTATACTGATTTATAAATACTGTTGTCTTTCTTCTTCTTTTTTGTGGCTGGATTATGTAATGTAATCACCCATCAAGGAGTATAGGTGAATTGTGTACTTCTCTGAAACCTATGATTTTGCAGTCATTTCAACATACAGAAGAAAAAAGATTCCAGAAACATGAAACTGTTTATATGCATTCATTTCTGGTCATCCTCCATATAAACCCAGCCTGAGAACAGCAAAGGGATGGATTAGGAGTGTGAGTTGCTTCTTATACAGGGAGAGACGGTCTCTTTTAGTGTGAAGATAGGACATGACAGAACACTGTATACACTTGCCTTACAGTCAACTGTATTTTGAAAAGATTTTATGTTTGGGTTGTTACTGATAATTCAACTGAGAGCAACACAAAGTTGTGTGTTTATTGTCTCTCTACACCATCTCTGTGTCCTGCACATAGTGGTTCTGGTATTATACTGTGATCAGAGAAAAAGTGTGTTTATTGGAGCTCTTTTCAGCATGGGTCCTCACCGCTGTGAGGACCAAGTATTTATAAGAGCTACTGTCTTTCCGCTCTAGGCACGCTAGGTGTATTTTACTGTGTCATGCTCTGACTGACCATCATGGAATATTTGTCTGATTTGTGACCCACCTTTCAGCTGCAGGACTGACATGTTCACATTTTTATCCGATGTGTTAGAGAGAGAGTTGGGGGGGTGAATGATCACTATGTGCAAAGAAGCCCAGTGGAGACTATTTCCCTTCTTCCTTCAGGCTAGTTCCAAAGTTCTTGCTGCAGGAGAACAGGGGCAGGCACCTCCTCCTAACGAGGTCTGATGTTCTATGCACTCCAAAAGTAAAAATGGAGACTGTAGATCATATAAAGTATGGGGAGATTAGCCATTCCTGGGCCTTTTGGCTTTTAACTTGAGGAGAGAGAGGACTTCATATTTTTTTTTTCTCATTCTCTTTTTTAAGGTATGTGAGAAATGAGTAGTCTGATTAATTGAACTTAATATGCAGCACTTAGATTACTTAGTTGGGGGCTCAGTAGCTGTAATGCCTTATCAGAATTTTATGTCTGCATAAATACTTATTAGTGAATAACAAGGCTTACTAAGACTAGGGAATATTTAGCTATATGGTCTTGGTTTTCAGTGTGAAAAATAAAAGAAGTTATTTCCGGTTAGTACATTACCTTTGATTTGAATGGACTTGATTTAGATTGCTAAAGGAAGAGAGGAGCAGATCTGATATACAGTTCAATGACTATGTTAGTGCGAAATGGGAAACTACATTTAATTTTGTCTCTATCTAGGCAAAAGCCTGTTAGTTCAGAAACAAGTAGTAAAAGTCAAATGAATAGCCTGTTTCTACTGTGCAAGTGTGATAACCTGTCACAGATTTCTCCAGGTGTCTTTTCTGATACTGTGGGTTTTTTTAGGCTTCAGGCTCGAATTGCCCATAGAATCCAGGAACTGGAGAACTTGCCTGGCTCTTTGCCTCCTGATCTGCGAACCAAAGCTACGGTGGAGTTGAAGGCACTTAGGTTACTGAATTTCCAGCGCCAGGTAATGCCTTTAGCTTCAGGGAAGCTTTTATTGTCAATTTTGTTGATGTGTCAATGGGTGAATTGGCAAGAAAGTTTCCAGAAACAGTGAGCCTCACCAGGAAATTTTTGCATGAGTTGATGATAAGTGTTTTACAGAACTTACTGTTTAACTTGACCTTCATTTTGGTCAAATATTGGAAATGTGTGTTTTCTCCCTCTCTTGCTTTATCCTCCCATATAAGTTACAACCCTAGAATTGTGCATTTCATACAGATAATGGCAGTAACACAATGCGACACTTGCAGCACGGGCTGCAAGCTGATTTTCATCATAAGAGACAACATACATCTCTTTCTGGGCATTCTTTGGAATGGGTCCCCTTGTTTTGGAAGAGTTGCATACTATTGTTGATGGTCTTATTTCTGTGATCTGAGAATTTCCACTGTGACAGATTTTGAAATTCAAGCTTAATAAGATCCCATCTAAGATATCATTTGGATGTTGAGTATATGTATAAACACGAATTTCAGAAAGATGTCACAGTATGAGGCACTTCTGCACTTCTGCTTGCCATTGGTTTTCCTAGCTAACCTGAAAGAACAAAAAGGTGATTTGGCAGATCAAGCAAAAATAAATCCTGACAGAAGTATTTGGCATCACTTCTACTTTGCTGTCTGAGCCCACCCTCCCACTGCTCTGGTACTGCTTTGTAGTGAGGTTCTGTCTGAGGTCAGATGAAAAGCAGCAGGCTTCCCCTCCTCACCCTGTACCTCTGGGACTCTATGGCACTGTTGAAGCCTTCACCATTTCCTACTCCCTGCTATTCCTTGTGCAGCTGACAGCGAAGACAGTTGTCAGCTGTGTTCAGCACCAGCTCTGCTGAAGTATCTTGTGTTTGTTGTTCTTTCAAGCTTTACTTTGATAGCGTAACATCTTGCCTAGCCCCTTGTATTTCAGCAGAATAGTCATGTTTTAATGCATATCTTGTAAGGAAAGAAGGTGTGGTACCCCTGAAATGATTGGCCATTCTGTGGAGACTTGACATTTACTTATGGAGGGAGGCAGACTTATGCTGAGCAGGAGACTGGGACTTCTCTTGGATTGTTACCATTTTACTGCATCATGTTGGTGATTAAAGATGTGCCGTGTATTTTTTTTAAGTGATTCTTTTTCTCACTGGTAGCTAAGACAAGAGGTAGTAGCCTGCATGCGTCGTGACACAACGCTGGAGACAGCGCTCAACTCCAAAGCCTACAAGCGAAGCAAGCGCCAGACTCTGAGGGAGGCCCGAATGACAGAGAAACTTGAGAAACAGCAGAAGATAGAACAGGAGAGGAAGCGTAGACAGAAGCATCAGGTATTATAACTTATTAGCTCTTTGCCCAGCAACATAAATGTGCCTTGCTTTGTTGTGCCAGTCTTTGCTGTTACATATTTTGTCCCCTTTGGAGTTTATAAGGTACAAAAAATGTCAAAACACATAATAAGCAATCAGAACACACTTAAGAGTCAAAGTTGGGTGCTTCTGATTTGAAGTCCTGTGCCTTGTCAAATGTCTGTACTATATTTTTTTTTTTTTTAGGAATACCTAAACAGTATATTGCAGCATGCTAAAGATTTTAAAGAGTACCACCGGTCTGTGGCTGGGAAAATTCAGAAGCTTTCTAAAGCCGTGGCAACTTGGCATGCCAATACTGAGCGTGAGCAGAAGAAAGAAACGGAGAGGATTGAGAAAGAAAGAATGAGAAGACTCATGGTAAGGAGTGGAGGGATAAACATCACCTAATCTGTTTTATTTTATGTATCAACATTTTTGTAAAAATGTAGAGATATTTGCTCTTCATACAAGTGTGTTATTTTACTTGTACCTGTTAATGTTTTGAAGACTGCATGTAATCAACTTGTTAATGACATTATTCAACCAGTTTTACATAAAACTGATTTCATATTCAAGCACATAAATGCATATAGCCTAGGAATTAATGACAGCCAGCTCTATTAATGCCACATGACTGTACCCTCTCTTACTGTTAATTCATATATTTCCCTTGCACCTGCACAATATTGATGCATCACTTTTACGGCAGAGCATAACGGTGTTATGTGTAACTAGGTCTTCTAAGGATATTGTGAAACTGATTAGTGGACCTCATCATTTTAGGAAGTAAAGTAACTTTAGAATTTTGAGTGCACAGAGGAATTTGTATGTACAACTGTGCTAGCAGCAATGAATAGAAAAAAATCTGTAAGATTAAGTCTTATAGTGTGGTTAGTCCTTGACTTGGGGAAAAAAATAACAAGAATCAAAAATGGGTGAATCCCAGAGTCACTCTGGCTGTCAGGGAATTCAGGTCCTTAGTCCAAAGCAGAACAGGTCACTACCGCTTTTGTTTGTTTGTATTTTGAAAGCCTGTGATCAACAGAACCGACGCAGCCTCTGTGGGCCACTGTCCCTCTTGCTGTCTGGAAAAAAGCTTCTCGTATCATGTCTGAGTCCCTCTTTTTTTTTCACCTTGCCACTGTAGTCTCCCATTGTCCTGCAAAGCATCACTTTGAGGAACGTGGCTCAGCTTTCTCAGTAACCTCCACACACTTACTCGAAGGACCAATGATCTTTTATCTCCTTTATCCTTTTATCTCCTTTATCTCCTAAAGGAGACCTTCCTTTACAACCTTAGAGAGTCCTAAACTCCCTATTCTTTGGGATTAACAGGTCCAGATTGATGATTTATTCGCAGGATTTGTGCTCCACTCCATACGTGTTGGTGTCCTTCCACTGGGCTCCCTGAGCTTGTTAATAACTTGTCTGTGTTAGAGGGCCCTAAAACTTTTAAGCAGCTACTGAGGATGCTGCTGGTCCACATTTAGCCTAAATGGGCTCATCTTCAGCTGTCCTTTAAGCAGATTTCACCAGGCTGCATTGCAGCCAGATTCCTCTTTTTCAGAACTCTGTGTTGGTTCCTGTCACCTCAGTCCGCCTGCTTCAGCAGTCTTACATAAGTGCAGCCATCCCAGTTTAGCTGGTCCCCCAGTTGTGTAGTATCTGCGGACTTGACAAGTGTCCTTTGTCCCTTCCTTATGGGTCACTGAGAGAGATGTTAAACAGGACAGGTCCCGAGATAGATACCTATGGTACCCTGCTTGTTATCAGCCTCAAGATGAGTCTAACCCAGTAACACTATGTACGACTCTTGGGACTGATACTCCACATGTTTATTTGAGAAATCATTTTTCTTCCCGTGCAGATCTTGATACCTCAAGTAACTGGCATTTGATTATTGAGACAGGTGTTTTAGATGTTTCTTCTGAAGCATTTCTGTCATGCCTGTTGTTTGCTTTGTATTGCTAGGCTGAAGATGAGGAAGGCTACCGTAAGCTGATTGACCAGAAGAAAGACAGACGCCTGGCATACCTGTTGCAGCAAACAGATGAGTATGTGGCCAATCTGACTAATCTGGTGTGGGAGCACAAACAGGCACAAGCAGCCAAAGAGAAGAAGAAGAGAAGGAGGAGAAAGAAGGCAAGTAGTTACAGTTCTAAGCTCGCTTGCCTACAGATGTGATTTTACTTTGGTTTGTAATGATTTCCAGTTTTCTTACATATGTGATAATGGCTAGTCATTTATGCTGACATGTTATTAGCTGTAGGTGAAACCATTTTCCTCTACTGAAATCTCTTAAGAAATCTGCTAATGTTTATTCAAAAGAAAAAGAGCAGGTGTTACATAAATAACAAAGTGGTCCTGTTTTCCTAGAAGAATAGGGTTGCTTTTTGCTTTTGGATAATGTTGGGGAGTTTTGATTGCGGATTTTCCCTTCTTCGAATATCTTTAGAGAGACAGTTGCAGTTGTGTCTTCAGCCTGTCTCACACATCTTTGTAGCCCTCGTGAATGGAAAAGTATACACCAGATAAACTTTTCAATAACTTCCCATGCAACCTTTCACCTTGTAAGAGCTTTTGTTGTCATTTTACTAAGTATCAAGAAACTGTAGGCTTCTGCTCCTTTAAAAGGACTGGTATATCCTCATGCATATAAGAAGTCTTTGCATTTCTAAAATAGTAGTGTAAGCAAATCTACCATTTACATTTACCTTCTTTTAACGTATGTGTTATGGTTTCCAAAATCCTTATTGACTATAGATTGTAAATGCTAATGTTCTCACAGCAGCAGCTGATCATTGCACAGTGAACAACATTGAGGCTTAATGCTTGCTTGTTTGTGGTTCTCTGTGTTTTAAGCATTTTTGTAATGATTGTGGTTGTAAAACTTGTATTAGAGAGAGCATTTTTATCTACAAGGGGATGTGTCTTGTTCTGACTTGATGGGCTTCTAGTAAAAAAGTATCCTCAAGGTAGCTTGTTCAGCTGAGGCTGAGCCTAGATCTGTGCTGTCCCGAGTTAGCCTGCCCCTCTGTTTATAAAAGCTTGCTAGTTCTGGCACAGTTTGTTTCTGCATCAGCAGATATAATTCCCAGGAATCCTGAAGCAAGAGGTTTTCTAGCTCTAGACTTTCTTGATGGTTCACCAGCTGTTTGTGCATTGACAAAATCCTTTGATATCTCTGTAGCATGCTATAGTGTTCATAAGCCTCTTAATCAAGTTATTTTATGTATACCAAGGAAAACTGTACTTAAATATTCTACATTTTCTGAATTCTTTTTACTCAGGCTAGCAGAAGGGAGCTCAATAAAGGCAATCAGGCAAGTGTCCTAAAGAACGAAATTTATATAACAGAAATAAAGATACAATTTTTTTAATGTAATATTGAACCATGTCTTATACTGCATGGTCATCTGGAATTCATGCCTTTGAAAATGGATTTGAAAGGCCATTTTGTGGAAAAGATACAGTGGTTGATTGGAATCAGATACTAAGCATAATCTTAGCATTCAGAAGCACTGCTGTTTTTGCAGTATACTTTTTAAATAGCAAACTGTAATACCTAATTTTTTCCACACTTTAAATGATTCAAATGATTGAGAAAACACTTTTTTGACAGTGAGGGTGACAGAGCCCTGGAACAGGCTGCCCAGAGAGGTTGTGGAGTCTCCTTCTTTGGAGATCTTTAAAACCCACTTGGATGCAGCCCTGTGCCACGTGCTCTGGGTGACCCTGCGTGAGCAGGGGGGTTGGACTCGATGACCTCTGAGGTCCCTTCCAACCTTCGGCATTCTATGATTCTATGATTCTTGGAAGTTGTTTTATCTATAAGCAAAATTTAAAAGATTGCTCGTGTTTTCAGTCTAATCTGTTTACATTTGTAACCAAAATAAAATGATGCTATACTACTTGTAAGTCTGGTGCTGGGACAGAAGCAGAAGCTGATTTAATAGCCTTTTTTGCCCATAAATACACTTGATAGGGAAGTTTCAATTGAGATGCAAATGAAGATTTCCGTTACTCATGTTGTCCTGATATTTTAAAATAGGACAGGATTTGACAAAAAGACTGCTTATTACTGGGAGTGGCATCTGGGAAGAAAAAAAAATTAGGTTATTTTGAGAAGTTTTTGTTCTTGTCAGCTGAGCCCCAGGGGTCTTTTTGTTTGCAGCTTGAACAAGTATGATCTGGAAATAATTGAGCAAAGAGCTTCAGTGCTGCTAGTAGATGAGATTTACTCTCAGACCAGAACTGAGCTGTGTACATAACTGGAATAAAAATGCCTGCGCAAACATAGAATCTGTGATACTTGGTGCGACCTTGTGAAATGAGATTAGGGCAGTGTAGATAGAATTAATACGAAGTCAGATTAAAATTACTTGCTATTATATGTGTGCTTTCAGAACATGGACTCCCAGATGAAAACTGACGCTCAAAATCCATATAAATATGGACTTTCTAAGCCCATATTTATAACCATTTCTGTAGGTGTTGTATATACCCTGTTCATACTTGATGCATTGTGTTGACAGAGGTGACTCTCTGCTTTTACCTATAACTTTCCTCAGCTTGAACTGCATTTCTTTCAGGTTGTGTAGGAATGGAGTGGAATTCTGTTTATGAATCAAAATGCTTACTTCATATAAACTGCCCTTTTATACTTATAAACTGTACGATTTTTTTTTCACATCTTGATTTGTTGTAGAAGGCTGAAGAAAATGCAGAAGGAATGGCATCTGGGCTTGGTCCTGATGGAGAGGTAAGAATTTTACAAGTTGCTTTTGTTTCCCTTAGTCTTGTTATAACTGGTGTTTGTCATTGCCGTAGCTTAAAAGAAAATGAAAAATCAGAACTGTAAATGTTATAAGAAAACTGGCTGTTCATAACCAGCATAGAACTTTCCAAGATTAATGAAAAGTGCTGCTTTGTTTCTCCTTAGAGACTTGAAGATTAAAGGTGCATTTAATCTATCACTGATGATACTGAGAATTCTCTCCCATCTTTGGTAGATGCTTAGAAGGGGGATGTGTGTGTGGTTCCATGTGTAGTTCGTAGATTACTTTATAAAATGCTAAAAAAATTTAAAACCTGTATTTTAATATTGACTTAGTATGCATGTGGGTGCCAATAATGAAATTTGACTGCTTGTCCAGGTTATTAATTTTTTTTCAGATGCTTTTAGCTCTTTTTATTATATAAGACAAAACAGCTCAATACTGTAATGTATCGTTTGAACTTTTAGCCAATAGATGAGAGCAGCCAAATGAGTGACCTTCCAGTTAAAGTAACTCATACTGAAACTGGCAAAGTTCTTCTTGGACCAGAAGCACCAAAAGCAAGCCAGCTAGATGCCTGGCTGGAAATGAACCCTGGGTAAGTAGCTAGCATACATGTAACGGGTGTGTTTTGTGTTTTTGTTTTTTGTTTATTTGCACTGGTATTTCCCATGGGTTTCTCTTTTATTTTGCTGCTTCCTTTTTCACATATTGCATTTTCCTTTAAATTTACTACGTGTAAACATAGTAGGAATTGCAATGAACCTACCTTCTCCTTTCTTTTGTGTCCTTTATTCATAAACTTTTTGTTTACTCTGTGCAGCTATGAAGTTGCTCCCAGGTCAGACAGTGAAGATGAAAGCGGCTCTGAATATGAGGAGGAGGTATGTATCCTCTTAAAATAAAATAAATAAACTTTGTGTCAGACGAATAGTCAAATAAAAACAAATTCATATCCCATGGAACTTTTTCTCTTTTTCCTAAAGAAGGAAAGAAATGCAGTACCAAATGTCTAGTCATTTTAAGTATAATACCAACAGGAAAAATCTTTCTTTGTCACATTGTTCAGTTCATGGAAGTTGTCCTTTGTGTGTATGTTGCAAATGCCAGGTAACCTTGGTAGGGAAGAGCAAAAAGTTTGCCCTAGTCATTAATAATCTTAACCCACAGCATGTAGGGAGGTTCTGTGTTGAAATACACCTAAGGAAAAGACAGTGGCTTTCTGCTGAAGAAAGTTAACTTTAATCCTTTGGAATCCTTTTGTTCAAAAAGTTTGTCAGGATCACGTGTTAGAAAACATGTACTGAGAACCTAATTTGCCCAAGTCCATTGCATTTTTTCAGAGATTTCAGGATTTTTTTTTTCCTTGATAATTCTTCAGTGTAGACATGAGATTTTTAGGGAAGAGGGAGCATGGAGTAGGCCAGTGCTGTAAGACCTTCTTAGGTCCATTTATTTGTCTGCTTACCTCGCACTTCTTATGTGTTTTAGGCCAAGAAAATACTTACTGAGGCTTATTGTACCTTTGAGCATAGAGACAAATTAATTTTACATAGATTGGTATTTTAAAGTAAAGCCGTTTAAGCATATATTGGTAGTGGAAATGCTCAATACTGTAGGATATGTTTATGTGAACATTTCACTGGCTATACCGAATAACAGCGTTGTTATATTTTATGGTAATTAAAATGTTAGGGATTCTGTCAGAGCCTTAGGCTCAAACTGTTAAGCCTAGCTTATTTGATACAGTATTTTATAGTGGTTGAAATACTTTATTACAGAAGTTCTAAAAAGAATCTTGAAACACTGAGATGACTTCTGTAGGGTCATAATATTTGATACTGTCAATAATCAATACTAACAGAGCATTTTTCAGCAGCACGCTTTCTGAAGGAGTGAAAGACTGAGTAGTAGGGAAGACCAAGAGAAGTAAATCAAGAGGCTAGTGATGGCTAGAGGTATAATAAATATAAAAAAAAAATAAAGAGGATAATGATTGTAGGATAAATACTGTTACTATCCTACAGAATCCTCAGTATTACTGAGTCGGAGGTGAGGCATGATACTTGTTAGATTTTGATAACATCCTGCAGTACTATAGGAGGAACATCAGAAAGAGGTGTCTGCATTTTTAGTAAAAGTCTTTTTTTAGCATTGGTTCTTTATTGCTGGGGAAATACGACAAAAACACACTTGCAAAAATGATCAGTATTTTGTTCTGCTTTGTTGATGAGAGTTTAAGCTGCTGAACAGTACACTTTTCTTGAAATGGTTCAGGTGCTGTTGAAGAGACCTCAGTAAAAGGCAAGATTTCTTCACTTGCCATGCATTGCAAATGTAGACAGAAGACAATTTAAAAGAAAGTAATGTTGTAATCTGTTTTCAAAAGCTAAATCAAAAGGCTAAAGCAGCTGCTTTTTAAAATCTGTATGACAGTTTTGTAAGTGGTATTGCAGTATGACACATCTAAAACGCTATATAAACATGTAAAACACCCACAAAAGAAGAGAAAATACTTTCTTTCCCCCCCCCGCAAAATACTGTCACTTGCACTTTGTTAGCCTATATGAATAGAATATCTTTTTGTTGTGTTGCAGTGCAATTTTGTTGCAGGATAGGTGTCAGCTGAACTTTGGTTCTGGTTCCTGTTCTTATACAACATTGACCAATAGAAGCTACCAACAAATATGTGGATGCCAGTTGAAGGTATCATTTAGGAAGAAGTTGCACTCAGATTTTTTCTAATTTCTTTTTTAGGATGATGAAGAAGAATCAAGCAGGTTAGAAGCAGATGAGAAGATACTTTTGGATCCTAACAGTGAGGAGGTTTCTGAGAAAGATGCCAAGCAGATCATTGAGTGAGTGTTCCTTGGGTGCTGCTTTTTGTTAGGAATTAAGATTTCTTACAATGAGATTTCCCAAAAATGGTTTGCTGTAGATCTCTGGGTCGTAGTAGCTTCTCTTGACATGAACATCTGCAGGAGAAGGAAGATGATAATTTGTTTTTAGCTATGTACTGCTTAAAAAGTAGCTTTTATACCCTGGGCACACTCACCGGAGCTGGAGATTTCCACCATTTTTTTCTAATTAAAAATGTATTCTCAAAAATATATGTATGTATTTGTTGAAATTTACTTTAGTTCTTTGTGTGCTTTCCAGGACAGCCAAGCAGGATGTGGATGATGAATACAGTATGCAGTACAGTGCTAGAGGATCTCAGTCCTACTACACTGTTGCCCATGCAATCACAGAAAGGGTGGAGAAACAATCTTCTCTTCTTATTAATGGCACACTAAAACATTATCAGGTAAGAAATCTGCTTGTAATTAACTTCAAAAATTTTCAAAACCTCCATTTCTACAACTGCCTGTTGTGTAGAACTGCTAGGCTCCTGGGTAATATGTCTTTCATGGAGTAAAGCATGCTGAAATATCCAAATGTTAAAATATCAAAAACTTTATATTGTTAAACATTTTAGTGTGCTATGTTAAAACCTGTAGTAAACTGAAAAATTTTTGAGAGACTGCAAAGTCTCTATTAGGTTAGAAATAGGGAATTACATGGACAAAGTGATGATGCTTATCTGTAATATTATCAATGATAATATTTCATTCAATGCTGTGTAAATAATACTGTCAACTTTCTACCTATACCTGTAGCAATTTTTTCATTGCAGGTTGTTTTTGTTTTTTGCTGTCCTTTTCATCCTAGGGTTTAAATTTTGCTTGTTATTTTTGTTTCTGAGGGTTTCTTGTTAATAGAGTTCTTCTAATATTTAAACTTCTAGGATTTTGTTTTTGAAATAAAGTTGTATTTCAGTACGCTTGACAGAAAAAAAGAAATATTAAGAAAACATTATGAAGACTAATGTACTCTTTAGAGGCTTGCAGTAGGTTTAACAGCTAAGAGCTTTTGTCTTCTGCTGCAAGTTGAAGTAATGCATCACTGAGAATGTTCTTAGTACCTGCTTTCAACACTTCTGCTATGCTATAACTTTCTAGGAAGTCACTGTGACCTACAGCATTTCAATGTCTTTTCAGTAGTCAGAACAATAAGTTATTTCTATTTCCACATGAGAAGAAAAAAAAACAAGTAATAATCTTTCCCTAACATGACCTCAAGATACAGATCTATTTGTACTTGCAGAGAACTAGAAGGAGTGTTTCTTAATCATGCAGAATGTTAGTGATTACAGATGCTGGTTTCTCAGTTCTTCAGCACTGACTTCTATTACAGTAGCTTGTTAAATCACTTAAAATTCAGGAGTTAAGCTGATATTTTTTCAAAGCACTTCAGTATTTTTGTATCAGACTCTTCAGAGTGATGCGCAGTGGAAGGGTAAGAGACAATGAGCGTACGTTTGAACAGGAAGGATCAGTCCTGGTATAGAGGAAAGCATTTTCTTTTTACAGTAAGACAGCCTCAGGGAGTCAGAGTTGTATGGTCTCTATCATGGTGTGTTGCAGATGGATAAAGTTCTAAGCAACTTGATCTTACCTCACAGCTAACTCTGCTTTGAGCACAGGTTTGGACAAGAGACCTAATGAGATCTGTTCCAAACTGAACTGTCTTGTGTGACAGACTGTCGACTTTTACATCCTTGATGGTTTTTCTGCCTTTTTTTTTTTTTTTTTTTTGGTTTGTTCTTCATCTCAATTTCTGCTCAGTTTGTTGGTGTTGAGTTTGGTCAGGCCGTTCTTTCCTCCATGTTGGAACATGTCAGTGGATAAAGTTTGGTGGCACAGAGGAGGTGCTTTCCCAGTTCTCGGTTCTATAGCTAATTTGTAAAATAGGACATACAATTGCAGAAAAAGATCTGCAAGTCTTGGTGCCCTGAGATCAGTAAAAGTGGTTTCCAGAGAACTTGGTATTTACATATGTCAACCAACACATGAAACCAGTAAAAACGGCAAGATTGTTTTGGATAACCTGTCACAGGGACAAGGGATATTACTGTAGACATGCAGTGTTTCTCCCTTGCTTCTTAGTTAAACTTAATCAGACCTCTTAATTTACTTCTGTCTCCACATGAGACACTTAATTTACTTCACACATGAGACTCACCGAGCACCTGAGTCTTGAAAGCATAAGTGTGTCCAAGGCTGTACTTGTGTGTGTAATAGTAAGTACATATGTAGAAAGCTGCATTACAAGGAAATTGTGTCAATGTCAGAATGCAGTAGAGAGCATGCTTTCTAGCAGTACTCCTTTGAGTTTGTAGCTCAGTTATGTAGACACTCCTGGGCTACAGGGCTCTGGCTTCTTGTAAGTGTAAGGTGGAGCCAACTGCGAGAGGCAGAGACCCAAGAGGTTTGTTATGGGAGGTTTTGTTAGAGTGGATAAGTGGCATGAAATATTTTCAAAAGTTTTTAATTTGACAGTATTTAAATTGAAGAACAGGCTTTTGTAGTGACAAATTTTAAGCAACCCTAAGTATCAATGCCTGTGCTGGTTTGTGCACACTACAAAATACTCTTCTCTTTGTATAAACTGTGACTTTGTATTTCGGGCTCTACTGCCCCTAACATGAGTAGCGATTTTCATGTTGCTCTTTACTAGGAATTATTCTGTTTTCTTGGGGGTTGGTAGTTAATTTTTTTATTATTTATTTATTTGGTGAGGATGTTGCGAAATCCTCAGATCCACAAGCACATATTACTTTTGAAGAAAATCCAACATCTGAGTAGGTAGGGGCACAACAAGCTCACTTTTGTGATATTAGTATTAATTACTTGTGTGGCTATTAAATAACTGATTATTATTCTCAATTTCAGCTCCAGGGCCTGGAATGGATGGTTTCACTCTATAATAACAATTTGAATGGAATTTTAGCTGATGAAATGGGGCTAGGAAAAACTATACAAACCATTGCACTTATCACTTATCTGATGGAGCACAAAAGACTCAATGGCCCTTATCTCATTATTGTCCCCCTTTCGTAAGTAGAGCATCTCATTCTATTACTATCGTTCTAAGCATTGTATATTGGCTTATTAGCAGCACACATTTGTTTTTTCACTTAATGGCAAGAGAGATATGTGATGGGATTATACTAAGGCTGGTTTTGGTGTTTTCTTTGATCGCCATCTCCCAGCTGATTGTCTGACTTAGGAAGGAGCTGCCAGATGTCTGTTAAAAGCACTTGATTCCATTAGTTTCTCTGGCCTGTTTTTTGGCAAACTGTGTCATGTATTTACTGTTACTTAGTCCGCACATAAACTGCAAGTGTGCAGTCATATTTTTTCATGTTGCACATCTAAAGTTTTCTCCACTGAACTTTTAAGTGTGATATTAAAAATTCATTTTTTAGCTCTTTTATTGGTGTCCCCATCAGACATTAATTAATCATGCTTTAATGACATTGTATGGTTTTTTAAGAACTGTGTATCTAGTCCTCAAGGTAGAAATATCTGTGATAGTCGCACTTCTGTGTCAAAAATCTGTCCAGGTTACGATTATTTGTCATGTTGTTCCCTTGCTGTTCCATTTTCCTCTTCCATGTTTATTCAAGATGTTGCTTCTTTTGTATTTTTTAATGCCTTTTCCTTTTTCTGCAAGTAAGATATGGATATTAGCTCTTTGAAATGCTGTGGTTTAAATGGATGATGTCAGGCAGAGTAAAACTGTTACAGGCTTTCTAGGGTTTGTTCGTTTCCTTATTTCTGCATGTCTGTAGTGCCTGGCATTTGTGTGGAAATTCTCTGGCCTTTTAATTATTTAAATCATATACCAAACTTACAATCAACCAATTGTGCACAGCTTGTGCTTGCACAGTACAAATGTACATAGTTTACTCATGGTCATTTATTATAATTACTTTTGAGATATCCTGCCTGCTACAGTGGTTACTAACATAAATAACAGAGCTATCCCTAATAGCTTAATAAAGTGGTGAGCTCTAGTGTTAGAGAAAATGAATGGGGAAACCCTATTAATTAAAACAAAGTTAAAAAGTAAAGGAGGAGGGTTACTAGGTATGAGATTTCCCAGGAGTTCAGTGGAAAGTTGCTTAGACATTTTAACTTACTACTTTCTCTGCCCACTCCCTTCTCTGGCATTTATTACAGGTTACTGCTGCTGTCACAGGCTGAGTGAATTTAAAAATGAAAAGTGTATTTTCTGCTTCTCTTTCCTACTAGCCAGCTTAACCATTTTAAAAAATGTTTGTTGTGATCACACTGGCAAAATGAAGTTGCAGATTTGCACTGGGTGGCAATATTATATAATTACAGCAGAACACAAATTAATCTATTGAGGCTGTATCCAAAAAGTTGTAGCCTCAACTTATGGGAGATGAGTCACTAAAAATAACATACACTTAACTTTTTGTGCAGGGTTATCTTTTTTTTTTTTTTCCTTAATATGTTCTGAAATATAAGGGTATATGCAAAGCACTATTCAGAATTGGTTGTAAAGAGGCCCCTGAATATGAGCTGAAGGATACTTTTCCCGTTTTTTTCTGTGACTCCTCTTAAAACATGCAGATAATTTTTTACAACAAAGGAAGTTCTTTTTAATATACTGTTAATTATGAGGGTTGTTTTCATGAAATAAATTGAAAATTCGGCAACCACTGGGAAGCATGGTGTATTCATAAAGTTTTATGTGTTTATGCTGAGAAAATAATGGTTTTTTATTAACAATTTTTGTAGAACCTTATCCAATTGGACCTACGAATTTGACAAATGGGCTCCCTCTGTGGTGAAAATATCTTACAAGGTTTGATTTGCTATTTTATATGACTAAAGGGGAAGGGATGAGAATAAAGCCTATTTTTCTTCTGTGTTTATAGGTGTTTGTAAGCTTTTTGCTGCTTGTAAAGTTTTGTCATATATATCATGTTCTAAACACTGAGAGTTAATCGTCCTAAGATGATGACAGTAATAGACTGTAATTACTTTCAGATAATGAAATGCAGAAAAAAACCTCTTAATTATCACATTACAAGGCTTCAGAATACTGTAGTAAGAATGATAAATACTTCATGTTTCGTACATGGCTGAATATCTTGCTGTTTGGTTACTGTAGTTCTAGTAAGGCAAACTAATCGTTAAGCAGACTATGTTGCCTCATAGGAAAAGCGCATAACAGTCCAGGAGCAGTGAGGTTTGATCAGTCTGGGCTATATTAATATATTGTAGGTTCAAGTACTTACTCTAAAGATTTGTATTTATATGTATTTACATGGACATGTATTTGTTTATTCACTTCTTTCCTGTTTTAGGGCACACCTGCAATGCGCCGCTCACTTGTTCCTCAACTTCGAAGTGGAAAATTCAATGTTCTTTTAACTACATACGAGTACATAATAAAGGACAAGCACATTCTTGCTAAGGTAATAATGAATGTTAAGTCTTAAAAGCGGACCTCTGAGATGCAGTCAAATAATGCAGATCACAAAATGCAGATTGCTGTTATACAGAGAAGTCATATATTAATTGTTTTACCTTCCTATGAAAATTAAGTCTTTCATGCACTTTTTCATTCTTCTCTGTATAATGACACTTTTCAGTTACTGCTTTTTTTCTTGAAGACGCCAAGATTGTGCAGAATATGCCTAGTGGATTTTTTTTCAGTACTGTAGAACCCTCTGCCATGAATTTTTTTTTACCTAATGTAAAAATAACATTTGTCCTAATCTACAGTTATACTACATAGAAAGCAGAGAATTCTGACAGCTTGCTTTCAGCGGCTGCTCTGGCTGTGTTTAAACTGTCTCATTAAGCACTGGAAACTTAATGAAAGAAGATGTTAAGTTGATCTTAATTTGTTGCTTCATTCTTGAGTTAAAAAGTAGAGATTAGCTGAAGAAAAGCAATGTTTGGGTTTGTTGTGTTTTGAAAACATAACTGTTTGTATGTGAAAATGACTTTTGTCTATATCTTTGTGTCAGACAAGTCTATTCAGAGTTTTTCTGCTTTTTCATGCCTGGTAAAATTATTCTCATCTTGAAAAGTCAATTACCTGAATTCCTCCCCGGAAATGGGAGGAATCAGCTGTTTACTGTTGTCGGTTACAGATGCAACCTAACTATTTTTATTCCTGTTTTTATTGTATGTGAAGCACTGATGCTTGGATACTGCTATTCTTTTTTCTTACAAATGAGATTGACATGTGTTTCATGTTTCACATGTTCCTATTTTAAACATGTTGAGAGTAATCTGCATCTGTCCTGCTTTACCAACTTTTCTTCTTGCAGATTCGATGGAAGTACATGATAGTAGATGAAGGGCATCGAATGAAGAACCATCACTGCAAACTGACCCAGGTGTTGAATACTCACTATGTGGCCCCTAGGCGGATACTGCTGACTGGGACTCCATTGCAGAACAAATTGCCTGAACTTTGGGCTCTTCTCAACTTCCTCCTGCCCACCATATTCAAGAGTTGTAGCACATTTGAACAGTGGTTCAATGCTCCATTTGCCATGACTGGAGAACGGGTACTGTGGCTGGTTTTAAAAACAAAAATCAATGCATAGTTATAAAAAATAAAAGATGAGTTTGCACTTAAAAAGTAGGGTTTGAAATTCTACTTGTCCACATAGGACATAACTATAAGCTACCTTCATGGTGCTTATAAAGTTTAATTAAAGTGTCATTTTGGCACTAAGTAAGTTTGTACAAATAATTATTGCAAAAGCTTGTCTTACATGAGAGACATGACATTACATAGTACTCTGACTTGTAGTAACTTTTATATCCTTCTGCAGGTGGACTTAAATGAAGAAGAAACAATTCTGATCATCCGTCGTCTACACAAAGTTCTTCGACCTTTCTTGCTGAGAAGATTGAAGAAAGAGGTTGAATCTCAACTACCAGAAAAGGTTTGCAATGAGAGAAGTTGTGGAAATGGTTTAATACTTCTTTCTTGTCCCATGCTTATATGAGACCTTACACTCGTTTCCATAGTATTTGCTTTTGAGAGGTAACTGAGTTGGCCATACACTGAGAATTAGATTTTGTCTCTCATGCTTGTGTTGAACACAATCTTTGCTCCGTGATTTATTTCACTGAAACTCCTGCAGGGCTATTTGATACTACTAGCAAGCAGAATTTGGTCCTTAAGTTAACATTCCAGAAGTTCCGAGTTCTGTGTTCTTTTGAAATACTACATTTTAACTAGGGCCTGCATCTCAGAATATAACATTAATCTGTGATTTGAAGGATCAGAGATTTCTAATCTTTGTGCAAATCGTCCTGTCACAGTTCATTGATTATTAAATTTTGTTCTCATCTTTATAATGTGGTGAACCTTACTGTGGTTGTGACTTTCTGAAACTTCAAAAGTCAGAATCACAGTACTCTCCTATGCAGCACTGATTTCAGAACAACACATATTTAAGTTTGTACATACTAGAGAAATTCATATTACTATTCAAATTTGTGTCAACTGGAAGACACTTTATTTCACAAGTCAATCAATAGATATTGGAAGAAAAGGACTTAAAAGCCACATAGAGTTATCTAGCAGACCATATTTCATTCATTTCTATATCGTTTTTAGAGAATAATCAGTCCAAATGAGAGTATGGACTCATTGACCAAAGACAGTTAATGAATTCCATCTGATCTGAAAAAAAGAATCCGTTAAATTAATAATCACTTCTCTTATCTCAGAGCTCATCCTCCTGTCGTCTTATGGAAAATTATACTCAAGTTGTTTATTAAACGCTAGGCATTTTTTTAATCAGCTTTGACAAAATGTCTAGCTATTAATCTGTCTATATTATGTCATTATTTTACATTGTTTATATAGACAGTTACTCTAATCTGGAAATTAAATAACAAGAAAAAAAGAGCTTAAATTGGTATGTGAAATTTTTATATTACTGGGTTTAATGACAGTGTTCAGTTAATACCTGCTATAGCAAATATAGTTCTACCCAATTGGACAGCACTTGGAACTAAACTGGGCATCATACACTACTTCATTTATTCCCCTTATTTGATATTGAAATGATACTTATATGGAGAAAATAGCATTTTTTCCACCCTAATATATGTAAATAAAATTGTCATGCTACTCTAAGAGATGCTTATTTGTTTTGTGTGAACTGTACAATGACTGAAGAGTGATTTTTCCGTAATGTTTTGCAAGCATAATACGAGTTCAGAAGTTACTAAACATTCAGTGATTTTTTAATTCTGTATTATGCATTTCAATTAAACATTAACATAAAAATAAAATATTTTGTTAAAATTATAGAAAGCAATAAAAAGAAAACGTCTGTGTAGCAAAGAACACCAAATCTACAGTCATGTCCTTAAAATTCAAGTGTCTTGTAGTAACTGTGGTTCTCATAGTTAATCACTTTAGTAGCTACACATTACTTTGCTTGCTATTTTCCTGCTCACAGAAATCAAAGGTGCTGTCAGGATACAGATAAAAGGTCTTTTTGTTTCCTGGTTGTAAAGAATTTGAAGTTACATCCTACTAATATTATTATATCATCACAAAAATTTAGTGTTATGTATTGTTTTTCACTCTAGGTGGAATATGTGATCAAATGTGACATGTCAGCTCTTCAGAAGATTCTGTACCGTCACATGCAAGCCAAGGGAATCCTCCTCACAGATGGTTCTGAGAAAGACAAAAAGGTAAAAGGGAAGACTGGAAGACCTGGGAAACAATATGATTTGATTACATATTAACCGTATGCTTTCCCTATATAGTGTAAAACTGATACATGGGTTCTTACAGTAGATATCTCTCATGGGAAAAAAATCTTCTCCTGTATCAGATCTGCCTTTGTTTTTAAAAATGGCAATTTGTGATCTGTATTCACGAGGAAATAATATTGCTTGTATTTGCTGTGATTACATGTGATTACAAGGCAGAGAACAATGGTGAGAACAAACAGTGCGTGAAAAAGCAGCATTTCTCTTGCCTGAGTTTAATTTGTTAAGCAACCCGATTAATTGTGATTGTGGCAGCATTGCAGCAATGTTGGAGGTTATCCATCTTGTCTTTAAGATTTATTAGCTGAGCACAAATCTTGTTTCAGCTGGCTAGAGCATTTTCTGTGCTTTCACATATTCTTATAAGATCTGTTAATAAAAAGGTCTTTAAAATGAACAACAGCATTCAAAGTCAGATAGTCAGGTGTGAGACCTTGCCAAAATAAATACTGATTACCCCACTGTGGTGTTTGATTGGTATCTGGTATTTGATTAAGTTAAATGTGGAGAAAACAAGTTCCCATTCATCACCTTATGTGTTTATGCACATTTAGCCTTCGAGACAGCCTGAATTCACCATGGGAGTTCTTAGAGTAAGGACACTCAGACACTGCAGAACAGCTTGTCTTTCTGATAGGCCCTTAATACGGCCCCTTTCTGTTTGTATGAATCATACAACATAATCAAGAACACTTTTTTTTTCCACCACCCTGTTGCAGACTGCATTGCTGCCATGAGTGGTATTTCCTGATCTGGTCTCTTCTCACTCACTGACAACCTCAAAATCTTCTCTCTTTTTCCTTGCTTACTCCTCCAGCTGGGTAAATCAGACCTGATTGTCTCTGCTGTCTTCAGGACACCTCTGTCCCAGACTAGAGATTTTTTTTCCCATCCTTCCACTTTTTTCCCTACAAGTTTCTTTCTTTTCTCTCTCTATTTCATCACCCTCTCTTATCCATTCTATCTGGTGCCAGCAGAGGGAAGTGGTGGTTGCTGAGCATTTTTGGCTTCAACTGTGTAATATCTACACTGTAAGGAAGAAAAAATCCTGTCATTCTGCAGCTGGCCTGCAGCTCAGATGAGTGAGATTTCAGTAAGCTGCAAAGCCCTAGGAGTTCTCCCTTTTGCATTTTGGGGCATATTGGAGGGGATTTTGAAAATAAAAACTTCATTTAGATGTGTAGACTCTTAAAATGTGAACATCTTGTGCTAGGAGTGAAGATTTGGCAATCCTTTGCAGAGAATAAAATATTGCTAGCATATAGTATGAAAAAAATAGTGTACTTCCCCCTAGTTTTACCCTTAGAAATTGCTGAATTATATTGGTTGAGATTTTAAAACAATATGATTCACATTCAATAAGCTTGAAAATTTGTAGTCACTCTAATTTCATAGTGTTTCAACAAAAAAAAAAAAGGCATCCAAAGGATACTAAGCTGTATGGTTACAGAATAATTATCGCTAGCAGAATCCGGTCTGGTAACACCATATTACTTTGGCAAACCATGGTCAAATGCCCAGCAATGTTTATTGTTTCAAGCTGACCTTTTTTTTTTTAAATGTCTGAATTGACCATTGTCTGGTGTCATTCTTGTTTCCAAACTGATTTCACTCTAAGGTTCCTTTTTTTTTATTTTCCTCTCTTGGTTAAATATCAAGATGATTCATGTGATGTTGTCATTTGTAGCTGTCTTAGAGCCCTGTGTTTCGCTTGTCCTGAAAAGAGAATCCCATCCCATCTCCCAGTTAACTGCTAGGAGAAAATACTAGAGAATTGAAAGGCATCCAACTAGCATCATTCCCTGCTACGCGTATGCAGAGCCAGTGCAGTTTGCATGGCTTCATACTGAACTGTATAAATATGCCGCAAGCAGGATGTACCCACTATTCTCCCCAGTCTGGCTCCAGAAAATAGGTACGCGACACCTTGCACTTAAGGAGTTATTTGCAGGTCATACTCTCTTTCTTTCTGGATCATCTTCTTGGTAGGTGAATTTGCTCAGCAAGATAACTGCTGTATTTTACAGCTTTTGGTATTTCTTTCTGTGTATTTTTTTTTCTGTTCTATTAAAATGTTTTTTTTTTTTTTTTTTTTTTTTTTTTTTTTTTTNTTTTTTTTTTTTTTTTTTTTTTTTTTTTTTTTTTTTTAAGTTTCATTCATGAACTACGAAAATAGATTGAGTTTGCTGTGTTTATTCCCATAGGGGAAAGGTGGGGCAAAGACTCTTATGAATACAATCATGCAGCTGAGGAAGATATGCAACCACCCATACATGTTCCAGCACATTGAGGTAAGACCGCTGCTTTTAATTTTAAGAATCTGGTTTTGTTTGCTTGTTTTCAAATGGCTAATATAATTGAAAACTAATGAAATTTATATTTGTGAGAGGGAAGATCTCTGTCCATATTATTTGTGCAGGAAATAACACATTTGAAAAATGTACTCCTTGTGGTCCTTTATTAAGGACCACAAGGAGGAAATGAAGCTGGGAATGAATTATTATTGTCAATATGGAGTTTATTTTCAAGGTGTTTATTCTTTCTGAAGCATTCGGTTTGGAAAGGGAGGATTTGGGGATTTAAGATATTCCAGAGCAACTTTCCACTTCCTGTTGGTAGTTAGGCGTGTACATAAACCTGGTTTTGAAAGAGCTATTATTTGAGAATTCAGTGTAGCAGAATATCACTATCAGCAGAATGCTCATCTTTTAGAACATCTGTTATCATTGTATTTTTTGTTAGTTCTGTTAAATGTCAATTCATGGAATTAAGTAATTTTCAAGTGGATGTTTCAGTAATTAATATAAACTAATTTGATTTTACAGTATTTTTTAATCTAGTAAAATGCATGTTGAGAGAACCTGTAAACAAAGAATTTCAAATAGTTTAAGGCAGATTCCGAGGGTAGAAGCATAATGAAACTCAAATTTCAATACTTAATATTTAGCTAAGGAAATGATGTATAATCAGTGGCTACAGTAGTGTTTATTTCCAATGTTCTGTTTATTTTTTTGTAACTCTGCAGGAGTCCTTTGCTGAACATCTAGGCTACTCAAATGGTGTCATCAATGGGTAACTCTTACTATTATTCTCCTTTTGATATGTGTTCTATTAAATGCTGAAACTATCATATCACATACTGCTTCTGGATAGGACATAGTACCAGATTTATGCAGTTTTTAAAATAAATGTAATCAGTTCTAGAAATGCCATGCTTTAAAATGAGCCCAGTCAATTTAAAGCTACTGCTTTAAACCTCTGGTCTAAGACGGTATTTCTTCTGACTTAGCAAGTTAATATCATCTTCATGGCTAACCAGGATCATCTGGAATCTCCCTTTTGAATCATGCTAAAACTATGTTGCATCACTAATTTCTGAGGAAGAAAGTTGTTTTGCTGACTGATGTGAATGAAGGCATCTTGCATTAATATTCAGATAAAGCAGATAATGGTTGGAAGAACTTGGAAAGATAGACTGAGTGGTTTTCATCAACATCAGACTTGTGATTTGTGTGTTGTACTTTCAGAGCAAGTGCAGTTCTTGAAACTGACATAGTCTGAACCGTGTTTATTTCCCCTATCTTGTGGAAAGAGCTGGATGCTCAACATGCTAGTCTTTGCCAAAATGCCCCCATTCACAAACGCAGATGTAATATTTTACCCTAGAAGCACTCCTGCAAACTTATATTCCAACTTACATCCCACTGCTACAACCAGATACGCCACCATCATCCAGTGTCTCTTTTACGTAGAAGATTGCCTTGTCAGGATAGCATTAACTGAAGAGAGATGGCCATCACAGCGAATTTTTCTGTGTTTACATTATCCACATCCACGTTTTACTGCCTTATTCCCTGTCTGTTCTTTTTAGCATCAGTTTGACAAGCCCCTGCACATAGAAATGCATTGCCTTGGAAGTTTCAGGAAATATTGCACTTAGGAGAATGTTTTGTTATTTTCTTATTCTGAAGAAGGAAAAGAATATCTTCTTCCAGCCTGAATCCAAGTGCATATTTCATCCTCAGTGTTTTATTAAAATACTTGTGTCCTTCATTCTGACACTGCAAACTCATCGCTTGATCTTGACCCTGCACATAAAATCCCCAATTCTTTTGTTAAAAGAGATTTTTCATATTTTCAAAACAAACCACTCACTATCAGGCTGTCTACTTGAGCATTCTCCCCACTTCTTTAAGTTCTCAGGGTGACATGGTATAATGACAGAGGATGCAATGACAGGACTCATATCTAAATTACTTGCTGATCAGAGGCAAATGACAGCCTTGTATTATATTATCATTTTCTAACATTTTCTCAGCTGTGGGCTTCAGTCTGTGAACAAACCCAAGGAGAAATCCCGATCATGTCATCCCTTTACATGCTTTTATAGGAAAGCAGAGCCAGCACAACACACAAACCTGAAGCCAGAGAATCAATATTGAAAAGGTTACATAAAGGTTTTTATGACCCTCTGTCCCCTGAAGGAGATGAAAAGATAATGGTTAATTGATACATTAATTTTACCTTATTTTATAACAACATGGATACAATAAAAGTGGAAATAGATTTAAATTTGTTCATGGCCCTTTTTTGTACAATTCTCTAGAAATGTATCCTTGCTAGCTGGAATAAGAGATAGAAAGGTTGTGTGTAGATTTGATCTTTCAGCCTGATTCCCTCTTTGTTGAAGTATTAATGTAGTAATTTCACTTCATTTTTTTTGAACTAAACCTTTCAGTGCACTAGACCCTCTATCTCTAGTAAGATTTTTGCCCATTCCTGAGTGCTTGTGCATGCATATCAGAAAGCCGTGTATGTTTTGGATTAAGTACATAGAGACTTATGGTAAATTATATTTTCCTGGTACAGAGTAAAGATTAGAGGAAAGTTATATGAAATGATTTTTTTTTTCTAAATAATATAACTGTCTTGCTGACAGAGTCGTCCTGGTTACTACTATTCTTTTTCTCAATTATGGCTAAACTTAAATGCTATGACTATTTGTCTGTGTATCTGTTGCACAGAAAAGAGCAGTAATCAGACCAGGTAAACACAATGCTGATCTGCCAAGTGTATGTGATTAGAATATATCCCTTGTCAAGATCTCTGTTTATTTGCCTAGTTTTGAATATTCATTTTCACATGCATAATAGTTGAATGGAAAGAGTGTTGATTTTAACAAGTGACTGATGAAAACTTACGACTGCAGTACATACCATTTCAAAGCAAAACCAGAAGGTGAATATCTTAACTGATAAAATGCTTATCTATTTCAGCAGTAATGCTCGTTTTGATAAATAACGAAACAGAGAGCTGGTTTCAAAAAGGAAGATATTCAGTGTGGTTGAGTGTCAACAAGGTTTATAAATAAAAAAATTCTTCCTGACAAGAGGCTGTATACAAGTAATTCATGTGGGTTTTTATCGTCTTATTTTAATGAACAGAAACTATTCTAAAGAGAGGAGAGTGCTAGTCTTGCTTACCTTACTTAATTTAAGTTTCCTATATTTAAATTCTGATGTGATAACAGCTAAAAACCCTTTTAAATACAGGCTCATTTTGGCATTTACAGTGTTCTTTCTCTTCAACAGAGCCGAACTTTATCGGGCCTCAGGGAAGTTTGAGCTACTTGATCGTATTTTACCAAAGTTACGAGCCACTAACCATCGTGTGCTTCTTTTCTGTCAAATGACATCACTCATGACCATTATGGAAGACTACTTTGCATTTCGAAATTTCCTTTACCTGCGTCTTGATGGTAAGCTAAATGAAAACAAACGGTAAAATATATTGGAATGATGCACGCTTCATTATTTTGCTAGGATTTTCCTCATTTCCAACGGACAAGATATTCCCTACGATGTGCTTTGGGCCTGTCTCAGTAGTGTCGATTTTAAGTATTTCTTTGTCTCTTGTTTTTTTGGATATGTTTACATGATACATATCACATAAACTGTGATACAGGAACTGTCTTGGTACACAGTGAGATTTGTTCCTGGAATGCAGATATTCTAGAGATTTGTGGTCAGATCGCTTCTTTCTCAAAAATATTGAGAATATTCTTCTGACTGCAGATGTTGATAATGCTTTTGCCCAATTCCATTGAAATAATGCGTTCTTACCTATTTTAAGTCCCATCACTGTTCTCCATGGGTTAGCTTTTTTTCCAGTGACAAGTGAGGAGCCTGTGGAGCTTTGCCTAAGTTTCACAGGTAGCTCAATAGCCTCTATTAGTATATGTGTGTTTATCGTCTTTGAATGAAAAGATGGTTCAGAAGAATAATGGAGATACAAAAGAAAAAGAACTAAATGCAAAAATAGCCCAAAATATCTATTCTCATTGTTTTATTCTGTATTATGAAGAACGGGGCTGCAGTGGCAAGGAACAAGTGAGCTACAATTTCCCTTCAAATTGGCATTGTGTCCAGATTATTTTAGTTATGATATCTCTTATAAATAATACTTTTCTTTTAATTTCCTTATAGGTACAACAAAGTCAGAAGATCGAGCTGCTCTGCTGAAGAAGTTTAATGAACCTGGGTCACAATATTTTATCTTCTTGCTGAGTACAAGAGCTGGAGGCCTAGGCCTAAATCTCCAGGCTGCTGACACTGTTATAATCTTTGATAGTGACTGGAATCCTCATCAGGTTATCTTTATTTACCTGTCTTCATATAATGTGCAATGAATTTATTATGCTCTTTTGGGCTGCTTCTTAATTAGAGGTAGACAGAGGTGAAAGACTAAGGTGTTGCTTTGAGAGACTAGGGTGACTCCCCATTTTGAGACTTTAAAATCAGTTACAATGTTTTAGTAAAGGGTGTGGAGAGCACTGCCTGTCTTAAGAACTCAGTGTTTAAGCATCAGTCTTGGCCTGAATCACTGTACTTGCAGTATTGCTATAGGTGGATAGTAATGACTACAAGATATGATTACCAGGCAAAGAAGATACCAAACCACTTAGCCTTAGTCAAAAGAAGACAAAATAGGTCATTGCAGCCAGTTGCTTCATGCTTTAACGTGTGTGTGTGTGTGTGTGTGTGTGTGTGTGTGTGTGTAAAATATTTTATACACACACACACTATATATATATATATATAAAGGGGGGAGAGGACTCATCGCTGTACATGTGTTTTCAGTTATTACAGAAATATATGCAGAGTACCTGATAGTCAGTTGCCACATGCAGAACTAAAGGAAGTGCGACTAAAAGGAGCTTTATATTGAACTTCCAAAACAGCACTCCCACTGGTGTCATGATGACCAGAATAAAATCAGACTTAGGAAATTTGGAGCAATTATATATGTGGATTTTAAAATGATTTCAGAAGGCACTTCATTGTTTTATATTTCTTTATGTTGCTTTTACAAACCTTTTTAATGCAATGTATAGCTGGATAGCAATAAATCCGTGTAGAAAACAAACAAAAAGCAGCATTTTCTGGAGGACCTAGTGAGCGGATTGCTAAGTTATGAAATATACTCACTTGCTTTCCTTTCTCTGGGATAAGAGTAAGTCATAAATTTTAATGATATACATGTAAAAAGAAGAGACCTTTTTGGACTTAATTTTTATTTCTGGAAATGTTTTTTCATTTCCTCACTTTACCATTTCCTGCACTCACATACGTAATTTTATAAACAAATTCATATTGTAGCTTCATCTTCACTGTTAATCAAGTAGCAGTGCAAAGGCTTTGTAATGCGTAGTGCTTGGGAAGATGACTGTGGGAGGGAGGAGTTGTCTTCCTGTTTGTTCCCCTGTCATTCAACCTGTGGTAAAACAGTGTGTCTTTATGAGACAGCATAAAACTGGGGTAGCATTTTTTGGTTAGCTGCCCTACATTATCTGACAATGCTAAACTAAAATTGCCTGGTTTTTAGGAGTTCATGGCTTGTTTTTTTAATTTTATTTCTTTTTTTTTTCTTTGTGAAAGAAAATAGGATAGCATTTTATGTATAAAAGGTGTTCTTCTGGCCTGAGGCCTTTTTTCATTTATTTTTATATATAAACACAAACACGCGGTGAAAACAGAATTCCAGTGTCGTCTTTCAGAGTCTTCTGAAAGTGAACTTAAGAAATGTGTTTGTTATTAAAAGTTTGTGCAAAAGATCGAAATATTTTTATTTAACATATTTAAACATATCTACACAGATTTGTAATTGATCTATTTATTTAAACATATATAATGAATGTATCTAGTGACTTGCTTTAGATGCACAAGTTTATATCTGGCTTTTATACCGCTACTCCTGTTCCCTTTTTGTCCTGGAGTGGAGACCTGTTTTCAGTCAGGATTCCTTCTGTCTTGGAAGTCTGAGGTTACAGTCAGAAGGTAGATATTTCAGCTCTTCTCAGTCACTTGCTGAACATACATTCAGGAAGTTTTTGGCTTACTGTATCTACACAGTACAGATCATGTCTGCGTTTTTTATCCTTCACTTTTCCCATTGTCTGATTCTGAGGAGCTTAAGAGTGAGCAACATGAGTTGTGGTGGGCTCTAGGGCTTGACTTTTATGCCTAAAAGAGTGTTGGCTTTACAACAAGTTAGCTGATAGCACACATATTACAGATCACTCTCTGTGTTTTTTGCCTAGTAGGACTTGCAGGCCCAAGACAGAGCTCACCGCATTGGTCAGCAGAATGAAGTTCGAGTCCTGCGACTGTGCACTGTGAACAGTGTGGAAGAAAAGATACTTGCTGCTGCGAAGTATAAGCTGAATGTGGATCAAAAAGTTATTCAGGCTGGAATGTTTGATCAGAAATCTTCAAGCCATGAAAGGAGGGCTTTCCTACAGGCCATACTGGAGCATGAAGAAGAAAATGAGGTAAGAAATGAGCAAAAAGGAGATCTTTCAGGATGGGCTTACTCTTATCTTTCATCAATTTCAAAGACTGTCATCGCTTTCAAAATCTTCAAGTAATTTAGTTCTTATCATGCTCTCAAAGAAACAATCTCATTTCTCTCTATTTTGGCCATATTAATAGCATATTAATAGATCTTGTTAATGATCAGACCTTAGTGTAGAATTAGGTATTTTAAACTACACTAATTCTAAATGTCTTCCTTAGATTCTTAGAGTCTTTCCTAAGTTAGGCAAAGATTTGTTCTTCAAAGATTGTTGCAAAACAGATTATTAAACTATTCCTGAATCCAGAAAGACACTCAGAAATGCTAAGTTAACTTGCACTGTCTAGGATCAGTCGTGAAAGGCCTTGTTCCCCTGCTGCTTCATAGGAGTCAATGCTTGGGTTTAAGGTTTAACTCTTTCTGTGTGATTGTGTATCTAACTTGGAATTCTAGTTCCTCTTGAAGAAACAATTAGTCTTTCAAAACAGCTGTTAAACATTTCTTTAATGATGTGCAGGATTATGGACTCGCTGGCCGTTTATCTGTGTCTTTCTGTTGTGGTGTTCTCTGAAGCCGCTGTCTTTGACTGGGGAGCCCGTTCTTTTGCCTGCCCCTGCAGATTGTTCTCTTCATGTAAACAAAACTCATTGTTTGGATAAATTCTGCATTATGTGGAGAGAGGGATCATTTTAAAGGTGGACAAAACATCCATTCTGTAGTGACTTTGTTTCCCATTTAGAATAATATCCTGTAGAGTGAAAGAATGCAGAGATTGAGATTAAAGTCTGTTTTCTTTTTCTCTGAATACTCTGTAGGTTTGGAATATGATGTGGACTGAAAGAAAAAGAGGTTTTGTAGGCAGTGTTTTACCAATATGCTTACTATTGTTTTGCATTTAGAAAAAAGTACCTCTTTAAGAAGAAGACACTTGTTATTTTGCATTGTTGTTTTAGTATTTTTTTTATCAGAAACATTAAACATTGTAAGATCTTTGTTTTATAAGGAAGGGTATTTTATGTAGGTGGTAAGCTCTGAACTGGGATCATCAATATGTACTGTTTTAGGTGAGGTAAAACTGGAGGTCTGACCTAGGCAACACTGTCTACATGAGCAGGTGAATTCACTTGAAACCAACACAGATGTTTCTCAGGCAGCTTTTGGATATGTTTTGGAAATTCAGAGCATACCGTCATGCTTTCAAAGCCCTAGAAAATATTTACTTGAAAGTCCTTCAAAAGCCCAGAGTTTAAACTGAGGCTTAATTAGCACGCCTCGTTTGGTAAATGACGTTGGAGCAATCTGCTTTTTGCACTTAAGTACACTTGAGGTGCCATCCTGAACCATGCCCAGATTTAGTCAGTTCACTTGCCATAACCAGTTTCTGTCTTTAAAGCAAACATTGGTGTTATAATCTGACTCCCAGTGAAAAGTACATGTAGTAATACTGTACTGGACACAGTGAACAGGTTGTCTATGTATATTTCAAAAGATAACACAGTAATATTAAAGTATGGCAGAGGAGATGGAAGTAACATTCATAAAGGCAATTTTTGTGGGTGTTTACAAAATCCTTTCCTGCCAAAGGCACCTGTTTTGCAGCATGATTATTCAGACTAACCACAGGTGGTCAGCCTCTTCTGTTACAGTTTCTGCTCTGGGATCCCTTTTATTTTTAGGTTAGAAGTTGCAGTGTTTGAAGTGATGGAAAGCTTGTGAAACTTCCATGAGGTAACATTCTTCACTGATTATAAGAAATGCCAACCAGAACTCTCTTCTTTATTCTGTGTGTGTGTTTGTGTGTTTAAGTATGTAATTTCCTTTTCTTAAATGTTGAAGAAGCCCTGAGAAGGGTGGGAAGAACTAACTCTCATTTTGCCAGCAGCATTTCATGCTTCAGTTAAATTACATGGACATGAAGTTACATAGGTCTTCCTTAGGAATTGTAGTAGTAAGAATCTGTTCTTTATGCAGTGTGAAAAAACTTACAGATGGAATGAAAACAGCATATATGGATTTAAAGGCAGGAAATTTAATATATGGTAAATGTTGTGGATATTAATGTTTTGATTATTTAGGAAATAAAAGGCTGCAGAGAGTTAGTTTTGAGATAGTATATGTAGCATTCTACACTTCATTTAACTGAGCAGAAAATGTGAGTTATCGTGAAAAATTTGGGGTGAGCAGTATGTTGTAACATAAATTCAGTCTTTAAGGCTTCAGTGTAGGAACCAGCCAATAGTTTGTGGATTTTGCTGGACCTATTCTGTTGTCAGATTTGAAATGCCTTGTGCTTTCAGAATAATTTGAAGAAGGAAGCTGAACGCTTCCCTCATTGGGCAAAAAAGGGCATTGATTTCAGCATTTTTATTTCTAAATTGAATTCTAGAGTGCTAATTTTTTTTTTCCAATTAATGTATTTTTTAATAACTTTTCTCTGAAAACAGAGGTTCACATCTCGGTTTGTTAGCAGAAAATGGTCTAGGCAAAGTAGGATTCAGCAGGCATTGCTTCCAGTATAGCTTTTTTTATTTTTTTCCTCCTCCCTGTTTTCTTTTCCTCCTCCCAATGCCTTAAAAAAAAAAAAAAAAAAAAAAAATTCATTATTATTTCTTTTTTCTACATGCTATGACAAGAAAGACCTCATAATGCAATCATAATGCAGAGTGATATTTCTGGGGAGGTACTATAGAAAAGCAGAACGGAAATGCATACGTTTTAACTGAAAAATCATTTGAAAACTGATTCTGCCTGTGACCCAGGAAAACCACAAGCCAACATTTCATGGTTGCATGTTTGCTCATTTCCTCATTCTTAATTTATGAAGGTGGTAGTAAGTCCCACTTGTCTCTTTGATGAAGCCTGTTCTGCCTTACTTCTGAATCACACTCTAAACACTTGTATGGTCTGAGTTTTTCACATACGTCTTGATAGAAGGAAGGTCAGTGCAGTATTGACCTGATGCAGACTGTTGCTTTAGGTTAAAACCTGTATTTTTTTTCTTTCTAATGCCTTTATCTGTCCTTGTAACTAGGAAGAAGATGAAGTTCCGGATGATGAGACTCTGAATCAGATGATTGCTCGACGTGAGGAGGAATTTGATCTCTTCATGGTAAGGTCTGAAAGATCATAAGCAGAATATTCATTTTTAAATAGGCATTAACCTTATAAGATTCAAAGGCTGGAAAGATGTGTCGAAGGGCCTTGGGCTTCATTTACTCACATTGTTCATCTGAGAAAAGGAGAGCAATCTATTTAAAGAGAGGCCTCATCACATGACACCAACTTCAGAGAGCCTTCAAGACAACGTAGTGAAACAGTGTGAGCTAGAGGAGGAGGTGGCTTGAGGAATTTAGACAGTGGAAAACTGGTAATTACCGTTTGGCTTACTACTTTGACATCATACTTTCATTTTCAGTCCTTTTCAATTCCACACTGTGCTGTTGCCAAGGACAACTACTGAAACTTAACCAGATAATAAGGTAGCAAACAGATATTGCTGTTTTCTTGGGGAGCTAACTTAGGTTTGCGATAGTTTTGCCAAGGGCACAGTTAGCTGCAGCTCTGCTGCTAGAACTGTTGAGCAATTGGCAGAACTAGATAACATTAACTCAAATGTGAGCGATTCGTTTTATGTTAGTCCTTCCTTTCTTATTAACGCTATTACAAAATTGTGGAATAATTATTTAATGTCAATATATAAACATGGCTCTTGCCATTTAGCAAGAGTCCTCTAGAGTGACCTCCTTTAGCAAGTGACCTCTAAGAGTCACTGTAATAGTCAAAGAGAACACTTAAGTAATTGTTGAGAGGAAACCACCGTCCCCTCTCACTCTGAAGAAGCTGCTTTGTTCTGCAAGATGAAGCAGTGCAGACCTTGTCATAGATGCTTGATTATGAAAGTATATCAAGAGGTACTTACAGAGGAGAACATTACTAGCACCACTAGCTTTTATTCTCACACCATCTCCTGCTTAAGGATTTATTCCTCACCTTTACACAAGTGCACATGAACCCTTTTTCTGTAAGTGAAAAAAAACTGGCAAAGGCCATATGCCTTATTTTACTTCCGTTTTGCCAAGTTTAATGATTTTGTGCTATTGCATTTTATTTAAAGTTATCTGAAAAGACCTCAAATCCCTACAGACAGCATTTTGCAGCATCTTATGCAGCTGTATCCATCTTCCCTAGCTGAGAGTACGGGAGGTACAGTGATTATGGAGAGTGCTTTTGTATCAAAAATCATGACTCAAATGAAGTGCATGGAGTTCTGTGAATGCAGATTTGCTGCTTGAAACATCTTTTTATTGTTGTTCCTTCAGACTGAAAAGGAAAGAACAAGTTCTTGGATTCAAAATGGTTGAATTTATGATTTTTTTTCAGTAAATCTATAAAATTTTGTCTTGCCAGATTAAGCTTGAAAGTTATAACAGCCAGTCAGTAAGATAGTTGAGCCCAGACAGAGGACAGTTTTGTGTTGTTTGTGATTAATTTATGTTTCTTGGATTAATCTATTCAAAGGTTTCTGAGCAAGAGTAAGGAGCTGATAAGTGGTAACAAAAAATGAAGGTGCAGAGTTGTTATGTTATGAATCCAGGGATATGTGAAGACATGAATCCTGAGATAAAGGTGCAGAGCTAAATCACTATTCAGTAACAAGGAGACCAAGAATCATAGAGTCATGGAGTCATTATGATTGGAAAAGACCTTGTGAGTGCCTCAGAATCTAAGTGTCTCAAAAGAAGGAGGATCTGGGGAGCTGTGGGGTGAAGATGATGGAGCAAGTAGTCCTGGAAATCATTTCCAGAGATCTGAAGGTCAAGAGGATGACTAAGAGAAGTCATCATGCATTTATAAAGGGAATATCAGGCCTAACCAAATGGATTGCCCTCTACAGTGAGAGGGGGCTGGCTTAGTGGGTAAGGGGAGAGCAGTGGGTGTGTTTTATTTCTGCTTCAGTGAGACTCTTATATCATCCTCATAGCCAGGCTCATTCAGATTCTTCAGTTTACCAGGATTTAAAATGCCTACAGTAAAAAGGTAAAGAACCTTAAGGAAATAAGACTTTATTTTTCAGTTTTTGCTTTTTCTGCAAGTAATTCAGAAAAGGTAACATCCAGCTTTGAGTTTTGGATCTGAAACAACAAGGGAGTAGCAAAAAAAATCTGTCTGATTCAACATGGTCATCTTCCTTTACTGTTGCACATTCTGACTGATTTTGTTTCCTCTAATTCCAGTATTTTACGTACTTTTTCACCAGTGATACGATATCTCTGCATATGTCAAAGCAATTAATATGGAAAAAAAATAAATAGCCCAAATCTCAGCGTGTTTAGCTTTTCTGTCTATTGAAAAAAAGTCACTTATTTTTTCTTCCAATCCTAAAGATTTAGGACAAAATCTGGAGCCTGAAATAACTGTTTGTATGATTTGTACAGCTCTTCCATCATTTTTAACAATGTGCTTCAGTCAATGTTACTGTTAAGATTAATAAGTAAGGAGCAAAACTTGGAAGGTTTTTTTTATATTATTTTTTCTGATATAAAAACTGGCATGGAAGTATTGTTATAGGCGTCAGAGCAGTATAGGAGCCAGTACTTCATCTATCCTAATACATTTTTTCTTTTGAATACAAAATGACAAAGCAGCAGCAATTTACTGCCTAAATCAGTGGATTTAAACTGTTCTGTTTCTTTTTTTGTTCTGAGGACTCTAGTAAGTTTTGTAGTAGTACTGAATTATATAGTAATAATAAATTATGTAGCTGAGAGATCAAGATGACTACTCAGAGTTCAGTAGTACTGTGTGTACTATGTACTGTATTCTGGGATTTTTGAGAGTAATTTTGCTCTTTACTTGCATGTAATGGCAGAATGCTTTTTAATCTGTGGTATTTGGGCCCCATTGAGGATACTGTACAAATCATTACTATACTGACTATGGTAAGGAAAGATAGGTTTACAAATTCAAGTTTTGCTAGCACAAGAAAAGATGGGACCAGAGCTTTCCCAGATAAAAAAGGGGGGCTGAATACTGCAATTTCGTGAATACTTCAGGAAAACTAAATGCCTATTTGCTCGGCTTGATTGGGGCTGGCTTTAATTTCCTTGTTGAGAACCTTGTTAAAAATCCTTTCCATTTGAGTCTTGTCTGAGTGCAGCTTGTTGGCTGCAGGATGTCAATAAGCCAGACCATGCATGCATCCAGTTTGAATGAGATGTTCTTTATAGGCAGAGTACAGGAAGGCACTGTAAAAACAGAAGGTTTCACTGTTGACTGAGGCAATGAAAAATGGAGAAAAAAACAATTACCATTGGTCTTGGAACTCGGTGAGGTCACCTGTAGTGAGGTTACATGTCTCCTGTTCCGCTTGTCAGCTCTAGGGCAACTACAAGCACCTCATTGGTGACTACATCAGTCATTTCTGAGGTTTATCATGTAGCTTGAACATTCGTGTCTTTTCATTGGAGTGTGGTTTGCTCAGCAAGTTTGAAGTTAATAACCATGTCAATTATCTTTTCCAAGAATCTTAATATATCATTATCTAGTTAATATTCTTAACACTGTACCCAATCTTATCTGATATTTCTGTATAAGCTTTGATTTATGCATAATGTAGCCGTCAGACCAGTTAAGCTGATGGGCTTTCTGGCACTGAGTAGGCAAGCTCTGCTCTGTCTGTTGATTGCTATTTTCTAATACAAGTTTTCAGAATTCTTTCTTCCAATACTCAGATTCCCATAATTAGTGTGTTGTAAGTTACTTTTTTTTTTTTTTAATTGCATAAGTAATAACAACATATGGGCATGTTGTTAGGAAGGGTTGATTTTTGCAAGTCATGTTTATGAATATAAAGAAGATACAAAAACTGTGTATGAAGGAAAACACTTGTTTAATCAACAGCTACTCCTGCCTTTTCATAACCTGATTTGTTCTATTTAGTTGCTGTCCATCTAGTGCTCTCAGTGCCTTCAGTGAAATTTAATTATGGAGAACTTGGCCAAGATCAACAATTAACAGCAGATACTCCCCGTCATAGTTGTATTTTAGAAGCATTGGCCTGGAGGAAGGAATATACCACCAAAGGATGAGATCTGAAGTGCTGAGCAAAATGCAGTAGACAGGAGATCCCTTGGTTTATTTAATAGTGGCCCTTGTAACTGCTGTGTCCCTTCCCTCTGTGTTCACAGCGCATGGACATGGACCGTCGTAGGGAGGATGCCAGAAACCCCAAGCGCAAGCCCCGCCTGATGGAAGAGGATGAGCTGCCATCCTGGATTATTAAGGATGATGCTGAAGTTGAAAGACTCACATGTGAAGAAGAGGAAGAGAAAATATTTGGAAGAGGGTCCCGTCAGCGCAGGGATGTGGACTATAGTGATGCTCTCACAGAAAAACAGTGGTTGCGGGTAGGTACTGCTTTTTTCTTTTTTACAATCGTTATTTACTTATTTGGTGTGGATATTTTTTTGATTTCACTCTCTGAAGACTACATAGTATTACCAGGGAAAGCACCATGTAACAGTTACGGCCCAATTTCTGGACTTAAAATTGTGTGGAAGACAGAAGTTAAAATTTAAAGCAGTGCTGCTGAAACTTGTTAGTCGTACTTGGTAGATGCTGGATCAGAACAGTGGTTCTTTCTTTTACAACAATTTTTTATGCCATTGTTCTTGACATAATTAACCTCTGTGTTTTTTAGATGATACTTAGATATTAGATTACTTAAGATATACTTTTTTTTACAATAGAGCAGACCAGTGATTAGTAGATATATAAAACTTAAAAAAAAATAAAATAAAAAATGCACAGATGTGCACACAAAATTAACACTTTTAAAGTTTGGAAATTTTTGTGCAAGTCCTCTCATGCTTTTTCATTTGCAGTTGGCTTACTGTTTCTTTGCTGAGATCAAAAACCTTCATAAATGAAAGCAAAGATTCAAAACTTACTCATAGCACATCTCTGTTGCAGTTGTCACTTATCCTTGTAATTCCTTTGCCCCCCCCCCGAATTAATGAATACTAAGGCATATTCCTTCTCAGAATGTTAATAGAAAGAGTGGTAAGGGGATGAGGACTGATTTTTGCAAAACCTTTTCAAAACCAAGACAGAGCACATTGCCCAGGATCACATCCTGGTGGGTTTTGAAAAGCTCCAGAATAGGAGACATACAACTCTGAGCAACCCGTGCCTTGCTCTTGTCCAACAGCCACTCACCACTGAAGAGAGTTAGGCCCCATCCTCTTGACTTGTAAGACCCCCTGTCAGTCCCGTGTGCCGCAGGCCGAGCACTGAGGGGCTCTGCCGGCCCTGCTGCTGGCCGAGGGGCTCGGGGCCCTGCCCGGCGCCGCGGCCCCGCGCTGGCCGCTCTGCACCAGCCCCGTGTCCCCCCGGGGCTGCCGAGCGCCGCCCTGGGCCCGCGGGGCTCCGCGTGTGGCCTCCCCGGGGCCGAGCGGAGGGTCGGGCCCCTCCTGCCCCTGCTGCCCACCCTCTTCCTCGGGCAGCCCGGGCCGCCCGCGGCCTCATGGCCCTCCTGCCGCCTCCGGGGGGGTCTGGGGTCCCGCAGGAGCCCAGGGCCTTCCCTGCAGAGCTGCCCTCGGGCAGGTCCCCCCATCCCCGGCCCCTGCCCCGGGGCAGGGCAGGACCCTGCGCTGGCCCCCTGAGCAGCAGGAGGTGCCGCTGTGCTCAGCTCTCCAGCCTTCTACGCTGTGGAAGACACCATTTCCTTGTTTACACAATTCTTAAAGTTTATGACCACTGTTCATTCAGTCTTTTCCGATAAAAATTGCTTTCTGCATCTCTTAATTATTTTCATTGTTTTTGTCTAGCTACTGTTCATGTGACTGATGTCTTTGTGTAGATAGGTCAAGAGCTAGCTATCAGTATTGCAGGTTCAGCCTCATTTGAATGAAGAGGAGTTATTTTACATAACTTTCGTCTTGTTTCTATGTCCCAATGTAGTGTTTGTTTTCTTCATGGTAAAGATTCTAACTTGTGTATTACACAATTTGAGATACAGTATAAGCTCTTAATCCTTTTCTGTGGATATACTCCCTACCCAGTTGTTTGATATCCTGTTTTGTACAGTTGATCTTCCTTTCTTTATAAGAGGATTTAGCATATGTCCTTGTTGAAAAATATCTAGGTTTTTTGAGTTCACAGCACCAGGTCAACAAAATGATTTTGATTTTTTTTTAACTTGTCCTCAGGTGGTCTTGTGCTATCAAGTTGGTCTTTTTTTGCAGCTTTAGTAGCTGCAAGCATTCTCGTCCCTCTTGCAAGTTATGAAAAACACTGAATAGCAGTGGACTACATGGAACATTACTCCCAATCCCTTCCACTTGCTAAAGTGCCGTTAAGGAACTACTGGGAATATAATTTCTGACCAGTTTACCATATACCAGGCCATATTTTTTTCTAGTCCATGTTGAACCATTGTGTGAAATGTGATCTTGCTAAAGTTAAGCTGCTACATGTAGTACTGCGTTTTGAATGTTGCTTGTTTTCCTACTGAAGGAAGCACAGGGCTTCCCTCCTGTTCTCCTACTGAGTTGTTAAGCTTGTTCTCTAAGTAGTTAAGTTACAGCTTAACTGCTGTAGTGCATTGTAGGCACTTCTGTGACTCTTGTTGTATGCATATTTTCAGATGACAGCTGTATACTTAAGTGTGCTGAAGCAAATGCAAGTGTTGGAATTACTAATATTTTTCAAATTCTTTATTCTGAGGAATTAGACTTGTCCTGTAACACTGCCTGTGCAGATTCTGAACAAAAATCGTCCTCTTGCCGTGCATGCTAAAAACCTAAATCATGATCTTGACCCTGCTCCTGACACCCTAATGCCAAAAGGACTAGTTAAGGAGTGTTAAAGCCTAATCTCTTCAAAAAAAGTTTTAGAGTTCCAAATGCTGACTAGTCCCTCATGCCCCTTCTCACTCTCATGTGTTAAAGGTATGTGGCAAATCCCTAAAGGAAAGATAATGCCTGGGCACACATGCACATACACTAACAAAAGCATGTTGGCTTGCTGAGATGCCTGCGTTTGGAAGCAGAATACAAACTGATTGCAGGAGGTGAAAGGGTAGACTCGTGCTGTGCCTGTGAGATTGTGCAGCTGCTCTGAGCAACCTGTGAGTGAGTAACTGCCAGCCTCCCTGGGAAGACGTAGCACAGGGACAGACTTCATCACTAGCTGTCGCTGCAGACTGGTGTTTGGTGATGGTTGGCATGGCAACCATGTTTCCTTTTTGTAAAGAAAAATGTGGAGTGGGGGACAGAGGAAGAGTTTGCTGTTTGGGGTACTTAGGTTGTCCCTATTTCCATTTCAACTGCATTGACTGTGGCATAGATACTAAGACCACCCTTGCTTGTTAAATACAGTTCATCTTGTTCTGCTGCACTTTATTTCATTCTCCGAACAATTACTCTAAATTTCTCATGATGATTGAAATATTTCGCATGTAGATACCACTTCTCCTTCAACCTGTTTTCTGGTGGGGTGAAATAAAGTTCTTTTGCTTAAATGTTCAGATTTAATTTAAAATAGTTTTCTATGTTGGACAGTAGAACACATTTGAGACCAAAATGTGGTAAGCTGAGTTTTTGTGGAAGAAGAGAAGTATTTGTGGAACTGACTAAAAGGTTTTGTGTGTAAGGTCATGCTCAGGATTCTTTCCTACTCATTTTTTTTTCTGTCTTCCCTATTCCCCTAAACCCTGTCTACAAAGTTCTCTGATATTCTGCTGAAGCTGATTAAGTGTGTATATGCCCCACTCAAAGAAAATGATATTCTGATCCAAACTGTGTGCTATGTAGTACAGAATTACGGATCATAGTGAATTTATAAACTTTTGGGGAAAAACTTATTTCAAAAACTTGACTGCTCTATGCTTAGAAAGTCCGAGCATTCCAGGATGTTGACTATTTCATGACCAAGAATAGCAGAATTTCCCAACCACTGATACCATTTTCTAATGTGCAAGGTGATGCTGATCAGTTTTATACCATTATCAATGTGTATGTGTGTGTGTGTGTGTGTGTGTGTGCGTGCATGTGTGTGTATATAAATATATATAATCACTATTAGTACTGATTTATGTCAGTAAAAGCTGATTTCCTGAAGGATGGGGAGGTTAGGGAGGGCGTTGCTTCTTGCCATCAGGAGATGTGAAAATCGTGCCCATTGCCACATGATGATTTTGCTGACAAGATGTTGAGGAAGAAAGCTTCACTGATCCACTTTAAGCCCATGTCAAACCAGGCTGTTCTTGTGTATTCTATGTACAATATTGTCTATTTGTCTTTGGTATCCCTTTCAGAAAATGCAGTTACAAACCTGTCTAAGGGGAAAAAAAAAATGAGACTTTCGCAGCTACTTTTAAAACAAAGTAAAACTCAAACCAGTGAAGGAATTTTTCTTTGCTTTAGATATGAGTGGCAATTTGAATGCATCTATCTTATACGTTTAATTCTCTCCTTTCTGGCAGAGTTCAAACCTGATTTATACTGCTAATTATCTTTGTTATAGAGAATCTGGAGCTAGACTTGAGGGTATCACTATTGGAGTCTACCAAAATCCTTTGAAATACTTTTTCTATATTCAAAAATTATTCTCAGTAAATTTATTGTTCCATAAATTATTGTTCTTTGTAGAAGACAAGAAAACTGAAAAATATTGCAGAAAAGTACCAGTTAATAAAACATCATGTCATACTTTTTAGGATTTTTTTTTCTTTAGAAAACATGAAAATTATGGAATCATGTAAACAGAATTTGTATTTTTGGAAATGTTGTTTTATTATTGAGAATATTTGACTAATAAATTGCATTTCATTTGAAACGCCCATACTTATCTAACACACTGAATTTAATACAGGGATATCATCATACATGACATTCTGGGTTTCAGACCCTGTTTATTTTATTATTGTTGCTTTTGCATGCAGGATTTTTTTTATCAAACAGACAGTGCTCTTAAGATGCCTCTGCTATTCTTGTTGTAGACAAGGATCTTTAAACACTTTTTGGAATTCTGAACAGCATTAAAAAGTTTCCTATGCTGATTTGCATTTCCAACTTGAATAAAATATTACCCATACTTCTAAGCATCCATTTTGGCCAAAAATCACCTCACCACCCTGGAGGGAAACAAAGCTTTTTGATTTATTTTGTTTTGTTTATTTTTTTCTTAACCTGTCATCAGGAACAAATTTCTGAGCAGTGCTAGTTTCGTTAGCTGTCTCTTATTGGCAGACCACAGTAGTTACGAGGAATTTTCGTATCCCTTGTTCTCTGTGCAGTAGGTAGGACAAGCAAAGGTAACCATTCTGATGGATCCTTTTGTCATGAAGATCCAGTGAAAAATAAAGTGAAAAAAAAAGGTTTTTGAAACTTGATCTTTTGAAATT